GCCCAACTTTCAACGGTGAACGTAGAAGTCTTCTAGTGGAGGGTGGCATAATGAAATAGATCACATCACAGTAAAGAGAAAGATCTGCTTAATCGATGGCGTTCTTTTTCCAAAATTTCGAACGTAACGAGGCCTGCTTTCCGCAACATTCCAATTTTTGCGGACAGGAGAGAAAGCAGGTGAATTCAAACAAACAAGATATTAACTACCACATAGAATGCTTTCATCTCATTAGTTGGCTTTTGGGACGATAACGTCATTCTCAAACTTCGTCGAAAATTGCGACCAACTCATCCAACATCCCTATGCATGCAGTATTGAAGTTGAGAGTTTGGAAGTCATCAAAAGGTGTCCCCTCAAGGTGGGACCGCTCACTTTGGATCGTAAGAGCCACAGGCAATGGACCAAACGTGCATACTTGCACAATGCGGGGAGGCGACAAAAAAAGATCTAAAGAGAGTAGAGTTGCCGAAGATGCAAAAAGCATTCTTTCGACTCTTTGCGCATCTCTGATTGCGAGGTCAGGGTGATTGTATTTTGACGCTATCTAATGGAACACTTGTACTTACCAGAAAAACAATGGAAAAAATTGGTCACAAATTTTACTCAGAACTCTTGAGCAACCACGTCGTTTTACCTTTAGAAAAAGAATTCACCGCATCACTGGTTTTTCCTCAAATTAACGAGTTACTCTGTCGATGAAGAGATAGGACACTACCCAGTCAAAGGCAGAGTAGAACTTAAGCACCTGTAGAACATCCCACCACTAGTCACCAGCACAGCGGCTCGGCTCTTCACACGATGTTATTCAGAATGCAAGGTTTCTTCTTTATTATTAGAAAGAGCGTGTTAATTGTCATAAAGGTATAATTTTGGGACGGCAACAGCTTCATTTATAGCATTATTTCTTGCTGCTTGTCGTCTACGAAACCTTTATTTGAAGTCCCTGAAGAGGAATGACAGAAAAAACAGACTAAGAATGGCCATGAAAAAAGTCATATTTTTAAAAAAAATTCAGCTCTTGAAGAAAGCTTTTGATTTAGTTAAAAGAATTCATAAAGCTCTGGATCGCCAAAGCCTCCCTACTAAGAACATAAGGAATCTTCTTCAGCTACATTAGGATCTTGCGGTGATTGCATCAATATTCTATACATTACCACCTACACACAAAAAGGAATTCGATATGGCGGTAGCATCTTGTCAAAATTGATCTCTCTTACCCTCCACAATGTCATGCAAGCAGTGAGAATGACAACATGGGACTAAAAATCGACGGTCGACAACTACGCTGTCTTCACTTCATTTATGACATTTTTCTTATACCACCAGGCATCAGGTGGTGTAGAAAGAGATTAACCGCTTTGAGAACGCCTGTAAGAAAACTAGTTTTTCGAACAATTTCAAACGAAAACGATGTTTACAAGAAACGGATTGGCTTCAGATGCCCCGTCCACAAATATCCTATTGACTGTCTCAGAATGATCTATTGACGTATATCAAGGTCGGAAAGCAAATTGATAAACGATCAAGCTCCAGAGTTCAGCAGAAGGAAAGAGTCGCCGTAAGCGCTCAAAAACATCGAGATGCGGTCACGAAAATAAAGAATATTTCATAAAATACCGATTATGTACGACTCGCGATTACCTCTACCTTGTCGTATGCGTCGGAAACCTGATCGCTAAGCAAGTAGGTTGAAATATTGAGCGGGTGGTCAAAATGTCAAAGCTACCACTATTCTGTAGATCGCAATTAACCGTTTTCTTTACATACAAGAGATATACATCATACAACATCACATGAGCGCATAGAGCAAACTGTCATTTGATTTGGGATGCTCAACCAGTTTTTGAGCGAGGAAGACCTACGGCTACCTTTCCAGCTCTACAGGTAAAAATAGATGAAAATGGAGATTCTACTGGTGCCAGCTAGAGTTACTCGGCGATACATCGAACGAGAGGCGATGCAAGTGATATGAGAAAAACTAGTATGCTGAAACTCAATTCACCAAAATCGTAATTGCATGGTTCTTCTTGGTACCCTTCTGCGACTGAAATAATTTCAACATGTCAGGCCTTATTTGAAAGTTATCAAGAAATAATACAAAAGTGGTTGAAACAATCTTAAGTTTCTTCAACTTTATACCGCAACAACGTTCCATGTTTATCATGCACTGTTCTTGCAGTCAGCGATATGCCCCAGAACTGCGTCTTCGTGAGCAACTCGGTAACTGGGGTTTGTCCATAAGAAGATGCCAGCTGTAAATATGTGCATGAACGGAAATGTGGTTGAAGCCATTCCCAGCGAGCACGTGACAATTTCAGGAACTTTATCGGTTTGAACAACATTGTTTTCCTGAGTAATTTTAATTCTAAGAAAAATTTCGTAGACCACAAACATTATTATGGCGAGTTGGTCGAGAGCGATGTGGCAAAATGTGGTGAACCGAGCTGTTCGTACCTTGGCATCGAGACCATTTGGATCGCACTTCTTTTCGGCACTTGCCAACAATCGGCGAAAACTAAAACTATCTCCAATAATTTGATGTCAACTTTCCAATTCAACCTATATTTGCTGTATCAACACAACATCCATAAACTGGCAAGCCCCATGAGCTATGACTAGTCACTATAATGTAGCAAGTTATCTTGATGTATCTTGATGTGTACAATGAAATGGATTGGACTTAGTGTTTCTTTGTTAAAAAGCCAACTAAGAAATTCACAAGTAAAAACGTAAGAATTATCGCCTTCCCATTTGTGGAAAGACTGCGGAGAAGGAAATTTTAGAGGATTTGAAATATGACTGAATTAAATTTATTGTGACATTAGTTCGGATCTCAAACAAAATTCTACTCAGTCGTCTATCGGGAAGTAGCTGTATCTGAAAGATGAGATTATCTGAATAAAATTGAGAAAAATCTATCCGACTTGCATCTCCTGAACTGTACTGCGTGAGTACTATCCATTTATGAGAGAGAAATGTGTGTTCTTTTGTAAACTGTTTTCTATATCTCTTAAAGACTTATTTTGCTGATCTGATGCGAGGTACGTGCTAATAGTATTAGTATAACCAACTATGTAGAATGCTGTGCAAAAACACTTGCAACAGCCGGATTTCGAACCCAGATCTCACTCTTTCCGGGTAGCGTATGCTAACCGTTGCACCACCGACGCTCGTTTTTCACAGCACTCTTTCAACGCTATAACGCGTTGTCTGCCAACAGCCAACCGTCGACGGTCTAGCGGGGCAGCCGCTATCGGCATTGAACCCACTTGTGTTGACAGACATTGGGTATCGATAATCGTTTAGAAAGTATTAATAATCATGAATATCGATAATGATCATTGGGTATCGATAATTGGTCATTCTGACCGATTAGTAGTAAGAGTATCAGCAATAGCGTAGCTATTCGATGACTAATCTTCCATCAACTTCACCCCTCAGAGCCTGAGCGTATTGGTAATGCATTAAGCAACGTACGATGTAATGTATTATCAAAATGATGCGATATATTATCATTGCTATTACATGCTGCCTAGGTAAGATCAAAAGATCAAACAGAGAGAAAAGGCACCATGTCTAGCGTTATAGTGAAGCACTAGCCTAATCATCGGCTCTGTAAACGAAACCTCGGATAGAGTAGCTTGGTTTCTTGCTTTTAAAATATCCGATTTGCTGAGGCACTTTCCAGTATATCTCATCAACACTACGTAGCGTCCCATAACAAACCAAGTGTAAGATACCTCCAACGTTTCCGCCCTTTACCTCAACGTACCGAATAACTCAGATATGCAAGATATCACGAGCTCCTTACACAATACCACGTATTGGCAAAAAAAGGGGGGCTTTGGCGTTCAGCAGCTCATGGCTCTCTTTTATATATATGTATATATATATAGATATATATATATATCTGAACAGCTTAGTCTCAGAAGGTGCGGGAAATATTCTGTGTAGGAGAGGCGGGCACATGAGTCAGCGATCGCACCACTTCTTGCTACTCTGCCATTTCTATTCAATATGGAAGCCTAATAATCAATCTCCGGCCGTAAACTGCTGCATGATATATATAATCATATATATATATATATATGTATGTATATATATACATACATATAGTTTTGTTATCTGGTCCACACAAGAGGAGATGAATAGCTATTTAGAAATGTTGGACGACACTCATACATAAGATTAACCCACTAGATAGCAAAGCAAAAAAACTGGCTTTCTTTTTTACCAACGTTCAAATAAAAACTATCCGAAATCGGTTTATAGCACTATGTGATATCAAAACCCTACTAATGAAAAGGCTCTTAGTTCAAGAACTTCCTCTTACCCTTTACATACAAAAAGGCGCTTATGATTTCGAGCAGTTATGTGCACCTAAAAGAAAGCAGAAGGTAGAATTGATTGTGTTCGGCCACAAATTGCTACATCTGTGTTACGAAAATATAGCTTAGTGGGATATGAGTTCCTACAAAGTTGCGCTCAAAAATAAAAATTTCAATGTAAATAAGGCTCCTTATCTAGCCCTTCTCTCACGAACGAATACGTATAGTTTACAACTATTGTCTACTAAGTAAAGGCGTAGATGAATCGGTAGCAAAATTGGGATGACCACAAAATGATTCCAGTTTGCCAGTACAGTTCGAAACCACAAGGGCAAAATCAAAACTTGATTCAAAGCCACAAGGCAAGCATATGCTTAATACGCATGGAATTCCAAGATGAGTGTCCCTAGTCATTGCCAACACGATACAGTGAAAATCCATTCAGAACATCGGTTCAGGTGCTGTCGACTTTCTTGAAAAAATCCACTGTTTCGAACGAGAGAGAAAGAACGAATGGGAAACTGTGCTGGGGCCCCACTATCCAGCGAAAATGCGCCATGTCGCAAATCAAGAAAAGGTAGTTGCGTCGACTCATTCGACTCATTTTTTGAAGAAGAATCAGAAATTTTCAAATAAACCTTCTGATGTAAAGTGATGTACAGAACTTTAGCGTCAGTAGTGCAAACAGGCAGAGCACGCGCTCTCAGTAGAGTGCGATGTGGGTTCAATTCACGCCTGACGCAAAAGTTTTCCACATCAAAGTCTTGCATCCTCTATATCAAGGGCATATTTGAAAATTCATACCGTCGCTAGTAGCGGTTTGAATTAAAAAAATCCATTCAATCGGCAATTTATTACCCATTTTATGCGGTTGATGAAGCTGAAAATTTTACTCATCTCCAGTTCCTGATGACAATTCTTCTATTCAGAAAAGTAGTAAAGTCGTGTCGTCTCGTTTGCAGAAAAAAAATCGGAAACGTTTGAAATTATCGCCTCTCGTACAGAATTTTTATGAGCGCTCTAAGAAAACTGGATTAAGTTTATTCTGCGTCGCACCAGTCTCCTGTTCAACCATTTTTTTATTCAGTAAATCTCTTTCATTACTATTTGGGCCAACATGTGATGTGGCTGTTAATGGGCTCTTATACAGTCCGATACACTTGTGTTTCTACCTTACAGTCTCGTTCAATCGGGCGGAAAATCCGTCGCCTTTCAAAAACCTTTTTATTAGCCAACCCTCTCGGGAGCCCTACTCTACCTATAGAAAGCTATCAACTCGAACAATTTACACTATAGGTCAAGTGAAAATATCACCGAACTTAACATTTCTGTTTTGTTTGCCGGACTGCTGAGCCCATGCCCTTTCGCAAAACTAGTTTGTTTTGTTAGAGTACAATGTACAAGTCTGACAGTAAATCTCAGCTAATGGAGGAAAACAACCTTGTTCCCAGATTTTCGAATACGAAGTCTCGCAAGAGCTTCAGCTCAGTTCAGAGATGAAAGAGCTGCACTTTTAGTTTAGCATAATTGTTTTCTCAGTAATCCTGTTGCTAGTTGAGCTAAGACGCCACCGTAACCCTTCTTTGACTGTTCGGAAGAGGGTGTTGGGGCGATGAAGCAGCGAAAAAACTGTGTATCAAACCACACATGAGAAGCTCATATGAGTTGCCTGTGAAATATAGGCGAACTAAAATCTTTTCCTTCGCGCCTAAATTGCCATTGGCGCGAAGTTTCTCCTTGGGTCATTTCCAGACTTGTGCAAGAGTCCATTGGAGCTTTGCTTGACATCTTGGATGTTTTTTCTTTTTTTTGAATAATGAGTTTATTTCAGTGTAATAAATTAGAATGATTGAATTTGATTAGTATAGATATCGAATTGATTTAACGAAGACCGCTTTTCTGCTGATCTAAGAGCGTTGGTTATTTTTCTTCGTGTTTTTCTACGTTTGTTGTTGTTGTCTTTGTTTTGTCTCTCCTTGATGAATACGCACCTAGTTATCATTGGTGCTATCTGTCAGTGTAGAGTGCTTGCAAAAGAGCGCCGGTGGTGCAACGGTTAGCATACGCTCCCGGAAGATTGAGATCTGGGTTCGAATCCCGGCTGACGCAAACGTATTTGCACAACACTCCACACTAATGGGTATATTGTACCATCATAGCACCGCAAGGGCGTCCAAATAAAATCATTTCTGATTAAATATTGGTACTATCTATTTATAATATCTGGCGTTTAGGCGGATTTAGGCCTTTTTCGAAGCCTTAAAAGAGACGGATTACTTCATTACCCGATGAGGAGGCGAATGGGAGCGCTTTGTGGATTGTTAACCCCGTCGAGTTTTCGTTTCCATTCAACACTACGATGAAATGCGTGTCACTGTAGGTGCTTGAGTTGAATTCGTTAACTCTTCAAGACCAGGTCCAGAGCCGAAAATGGTACGCTGACCTTTCGTGGTTTTCTCATCAAGCGCTGGTTTTTCCAGTGGACGTAGCCATCCGATCGCTGAAAAGAAATGACGACTCCGACATGGGGCTTGTTTTATGAGAAAGTCTTCTTGGTGTGCTATAACATTTAAGTACTTTATTTGATCCGTCATCACAGAGTTTTTTTCACTGTGGTGATACCAGTACTTCAATCATTCATTTTGTTCTCCATTTCTTCTCGAACGACGTAGAATACTGGTTGAGCGAGTCTCCTTGCAATCTCGAGGATAACTTGGCTGTGGTGTCCATAGGATGTTGTTGTTGACTGCCGGAGAATCGAAGGGGTGGAGCTCGCCTCCACGCGCGCCGTGACCAACATCACAACCTCTCGGCCACGGCACCCCATTGCTATAACAACGAGGAGAAAACTGGGTTTTGTCTTTGGAATGTACAGCTTTTCACGAGAGTTTCCGTAGTCCCTTGATAGCTCGAGAAACGGCAATCTACAGTGCTACGCTCAGCTTCTTAGAAAGCCTTCCCATGTGGCACACAAGAAGAAATTCCGTCTCACCTTTGCGCGCCGTGCTTGGTTTTTCGCCAGCTTCAGTGATCATTTGGTGGCTTGAATATCAGTACGGATTTCTTCCAAAACCTTTCGAAGAGAGCTATGATTTCGAGAAGAAGATCATGTTTCGCACTTGGAGTACTTGGCCCGTGGATTGAACTCCATAGCGGATCTATTCACTTCATCGCTTTGTCCCTTCCTCTCGTCCGTTTCCAGTCCACTGACTGCCGAAGAGTGTTGCGGGTTGTGGGATCAATCATCGTCGAACCGCGCCTAGCATAACTAGCCATTCAACCACAGCCACTATAACAGTATTATAACATGAACTATAAGCTCATATTTTTAGAACACAGAACGAAATCTGTTCCATAATTTATAAAGGTACCAAGTTCTAAAAAGATCACTAATGGTCTTAGAAATTTCAGTAACTTATCGATGGACTGACATGCACGCAGTGTACAGTAGCATTTTGCTAAACGATTCATCGTGAAACTAGTTTTCACTGTTTCTCTACACATAAGAAGTTTCAAGTGCAGCAAAAAATTATGAATCAATATGGGAGGAACGGGGCCTTGGCCGAGTGGTTGTGATGCTCGTCGCGGAGTGGCACGTGGCTGGTCTCCCACCCGCAACACTCTCCGTTGATCAACACCGAACGCACTATGGAACGTCACGGCTTAGCTATCTCGGGGTTGCAGAGAGAATGTGCTTTTCCAGTATTTACGATGTTATAGAAGAAGACGAAAAAGAGTTGAATGCTAGAAGTGCTGGGGTCCGCGCATCAAAAAAGAAAAGAAAATTTGAATAGGGACCAAATATACTGACATCGCACCGCTTGGGGAGACTGCAACTTTGGTCCCGAAAGGTTAGAAGTGTCGCTTTGAATTTGACAAATAACGGCTCTTGCTGTGATTGGATCAAGATTTGACCCACCGGGAGGCTTCCTGATCTCCATTTCGACGTTGCCATGAAGTCTGTAGCAGCATCTTCTTCATACAATCCATAGATTACAAACCTATTGAAACGTCGAAGTGATATACAAAACCTTGAATCCTGAGGCGCGAGAGTTGAACCTCCGTCGCATCCTTTCCAGGTTCTTATGCTAACCACTGCGTTGCTGCAGTTCCTGTTTTGCTATCACAATTTCTGCGCTACAACGTATTGGAGCTGTGAGCAAACTTACCGCTAACGGGTTCGATCTGCTGAGCACTATCGGCATTGAACTCAAGCTCTTGTTTTGTCCTTATTTTGTTATACCTCATTGTTTTTTGTTTCTTTCACGCTTCCAGCACTTTGGCTAATGGTCTCGTTTCAGTCCTTATGATTATGACATGTCTTCGGCATAATGGCTGCGAGACACGAATGCTCACATCTCTCTCCTCTGATCTCCGTCACATCCGATGTCGTCGATGTCTTCGGGCCTTCAAGGTACGGAACCATTCAACCTTCGTTTTCTGTCAAACAGGCTTCATTTGTATCTGCAACACTGGTCGATACCTAGTGATTGTCCATTTTCTTAGCGAGAGGACAGTGTTAATGCAGATTTTCTTCAAACAAAAGCTATCTTCAATGTAAACGGATTTACTAACATTGTTTCAATTAAAGAAAGTCATCGTTCCACTCATTTTTGGACGTTGTAGCACTTATCCCTCTAGCGGTTTTGATATTCAACTTTGGTAACAGCATATACTGGTTCTATTAAAGCATTGGTCTCCCGTAATTTTTTCGCCAGGCAGAGGGTCCTTAGTAGCTACTCGGTAGCTAAAAATGTATTTCGACATTGCGACTGGTCTACGAAAAGGGCTTCTCGATCCACTGAGGCCAGTCAGGAGCATTCATGTATCGTCTTAGGAGTGGTAAGCCCTTGTTACAACTTCACTGCCGCTTTGTTGCTACCTTTAGAGAATTCTAAGATGACAGGTGCGCTAATCAATCACGAAAAGACGAGACATCACTGTCAAGACTTTTATGAAAGTTTTTTCAGCAAAAAAGAAAAGTTCATGTCTCTTGAAAATCCGCTTTTTTCCACGGAAGGCCAATTCCTGTGACAAGAACTCATTTCCACTATATATGGACACTTCAAAAGCCATTATCTATAAACGATTGGGAAAAGTCTCTTTCATGAGTCTGCAGAGTTCTCAGCTATTGTAATGCACTAATCGAGATATTATTGAGAAAATATCGACGAATTGGCATCGCACGCAGTTTGGATGGGTTTTTTTTTGACAAACTATTCACTGTCTATCACTCGACTTTTTTGAGACATCACTTGGAAATTCAGTATAGTTGATAGAAAGTTTTAAGCCTTTTAAGAAGTCTGGTATGGCGGCTTGAGCTTTGGGTGAACGTTTCGGCATTCTGGAAGCCTCATCAGTAAGTAGCACATGCTGTTCGGCTACTCGTCCCCTATTAATACTAGGAAATCGACGCCGAATAATGCACACTTTGCGTTAAGTGAAGAATTCACTCAACGTGGTGTTTACTCGCAGTGATAAATTGTCAGTGCAGAATGTAACTTCTTCGACGTCTATACCCTATAATAGTAAGGGACGAGCAGTCGAATGGCATGTGCTACGAATGGGTCATGCTAGAAAGCCGAAACGTACGTCTAACACTAGAGCTGCCATAGCAGATCCCATGAAAGGCCTAAAACATCTTATCGGACTCTATTGGACTATTCATTGTCTTGTGATTTCCAGCTACGACGAATTTTTGGGTGTCGTAGGGAATGTTAGGATATCAAAAATAAAGGAATTT